TGCCGTTGCCCAGGAAGCCCTCCGGGCAGGAGCCGCAGGACCAGGACCCGTCGGGGAAGCTGCTGCACTCGGCCCCGGGGAAGCAGGGGTTGGACAGACAGCCGTCTGCGCGGGAGGAGGAAGAGTGAACACGCGGCGCCCCGCGGGACCTGCTTGGAGCCGCCCACGGCGCCCGCCCTGCCACTCAGTGACGCATCGGTGCCGGCGGGGACATTCTGGTGACACCCACGGGGAGCGACACCAGACGGTCATCAAAGGCTGCTGGCAAGTGAGCGGGGGGGTTGTGAGCGCCGGAGCGCACTGGGACTGTGCGCGACGCCCACGCCGCGTTGCTCATTTTCTGTTTTTACATAAAAATACTGGAGGAACATAACGCGGGTCTAAAAGCGAGTATCTCTACACGGTGCAAATAGGACCGATTTTCCTTTCCTGAGTTTCCTACGTATTTTCCAAAAACGTTTACACTGTTCGTCAGAGTGGAAGCCCAGCCGCGTGCTCAGAGGACGCCCCGATTGGGCGGGTGGCACAGGTGTCACACGCACCTACGGGACAGCTCCTCCGGTTGCACATCTGCCGCTCGGTCACGTCCCCCACGCACGCCTTCCCGCCGTGCTGCGGCTCGGGACTGTTGCAGACCCGTGTGCGCTCGCGGATGCCTCCGGCGCAGGTGACCGTGCAGGCGGACCACGGGGACCAGGGGCTCCAGCGGCCATCGACTGCAGGGAGAGCCAGGAACAGGCGAGCTCAGGGGGAGCGCCAAGCCCGCCACTTACTCTGAGCACTGGGCCCAGGTCGAGGTGGTGTCTCCTACACTGCGGGTACAGAAATCTTAATTCTACTGGGACTGTGTACAGGTCACAGAGCGACTATGCTACCTACCGAGTCCTGCCACCCTGCAGGTTCAGGGAGTGATGGAGACACAGACAGAAAATCGCACGACCTTTTACACCTAGAAGCTCAGACCCTTCACCGAGGGGCCCCTGTAGTGGAGGGCGGGTCCGTCTCTGGAACACGTGTGACACCGGTTACCAGGATGGTGGGTGCACATGGAGAGCTGGGTAGTGAAAGGATCGACCTACGAGCTCCCTTTTTCTGCTTTTTCTGTGCATTCGCAGCCTTCGTGAATCTCCTGGAGCTCTGGGCCCACCGGGGTCTGGGGGCTCTGACTCTCTAGCTCACCTGGGACGCAGGGGGCGGCCTCCTGGCCTCCTGAGACGTCCCTTCTGTTCCCTCTCGCTTCCCCCACCCAGGTTCGCTCCCACGTTCTGGCTTATTCCACTTTAACTGCAGATTAATGGTCATTTAATGGTAGCCTGTGCTGAACACGCGTGGAATCGGGCTGGCTTGGATGAGGTTCGTGCTGACACAGGCATGAATCCCAAAGGACTGGTCCAGAGCGAGCCAGGCCAGGGGGAGGAGAGCACCCTTCCCCGCCGGGGACTGCACTCGGCCCTGCTTCAGGGACGCCGTCAGGGCTGCACAGGCCCCGCTCCCAGGACCCGGCCTTTGCCCCACTCACTTGGGCATGGGGCGCCCTGGCAGGCTTTGGTCTCCCGGCCGCTGCCTCTGCAGTTCTTGCCTCCCATCTGGGGGACCGGGGAGTTGCACAGACGGATGCGTGTGATGTTGCCGACTCCACAGGTCACTGAGCACGAAGACCAAGGTGACCAGTGGCTCCAGCCGCCGTCCTGCCGGACTAACGGAGGGTGACACACAAAGAGCAGCATCTCAGGCCGAGCCACCCTGAGGGGCCTGCCCGTGCCCAGCCACGTGTGTGTCACAGCTGAGGATCAGGGGAGCAGAGCCACTGCCGTGTGCAGGAGGAGGAGCCCCACCGTGCAGGGATCCTTGCACAGGTCGAGGGCCTCCAGGAACCGCAGGGCGGTGCTGCCCTGCAAGCCCCACGGCCGAGCCATGCCCCCCCCCCCAAGGGAGCTGTGTGCTGACACTTACTGCGGGTGTCACACTTGCCCAGGCTGCACGCTCGTGTCTGGATGGAGGGGCCCAAGCATGTGTTGCTGGTGACATCGCATGACCGGCCCCTCTGCTGGGTCCCGGAACCACAGGAGACAGAGCACTCAGTCCACTCTGCCCATGGAGACCAGCCCTCCTCACCGTCCACCGCTGGCCAGAGGAAGCACAACAGAGTGGGTCAGGCACCACCTCACGACACATCGCAGGCGGGACAGGCAGAGGACAACCCTGCCCTGCAGTTATAGCTCCTACAACGAGGACTTTACAGGGCCACTTCCCAGTGGAGGGCAGAGGGCGGGGGCAAGGCAGGGCCTCTGCGAGCACAGACCCCCGCTGCTGAAAGTCTGTGACCTGGGGAGGAGCTGGGGACATTGTCCAGGAAAGGACACAAGGGAATGTCAGGGTCTGTCGTCTGAGTGTGAGGAGGGTTTACTCCAAATGTGTCCCAGGAAGACGCTTAATGGAATTTTAAAAATAGCTGCAAAAGAGAGTGCTGGATCATAGCTCTCTAGGTTTTAAAAAAGTTATTAAGATTTAATTTATTTCCATTTTAACCTGTGTGCTGATTTACAGAAGGTAACAAAACATCTCAGTTACTGATTGAAATTATTGGTCTCTTAATTTATTTCCAATTAATGTAAATTGAGACAAGTTAAAAAAAAAGTAATAATTTCCTGCAAAGAAATTCTTCACAGGTGATTACATCCATTGATGAGAGGAAAGACAGTAACTTAAAGCAAGAAATCCTTCTAGTAAATAGTAGAAGATAAACCTTATAAACGTGCTATGGTTAAATGTCCCAGAAAGCATGGAAAGAGGGAAGGCACAGGAGGCCTTTTTCTTGCTATTATGCTCTGGATAGCATGACATCTCCCTCTAAGCTGAAGTGGGCACTTAGATTATCATAATTTTATTTTTATACTGCACAATGAGCAATTCGAATTTGTGAGTATCTAACAGGCACTTTCACATATACTCTATTGTTTATTTTAAGCATAAGAGTGACCTTATCTATTGGGGGTAATTTCTCTGCATTTTATAGATAATTAATCTGAAACTCAAAACAAAATTGCATTTTGTTCATATTCTTAGAGTGGCAGAGCTCGAGCTCATATCCAAACCCATTCTCTGTCCACGTGCTCCAGGGCCTCTAAGAAGGAAGATGCCCCTAGCCCGGTGTTCCCCAGCCAGGCCCAGCCCCAGAGCAGTGCAGGTCTGTGTGGCTCAGGTAACGGGAGGGACAGCACAGCCACGCCCCCATGCCACCAACCTCCAGGCTCCAACACTAGAGCAGGGAGGTGAAAAACAGCATAAGCCTGGACCAGGGAGTCATAGGGCATGCAGACTGGAACCGGCCACCTCAATCAGTGCTGCCGTGACTGGGGCCGGGTCGGAGGGAGACCTGAGACGGCTCCCCAGTGAAGAAGCTCGCACGTTCATGAGAGGCAGAACCGTGCTCGTAAGGGTGAGGGAAGATTGTCCTGGAGGAGCACGGAGCATGATGGCAGTCCAGGGGAAGGAGAGAGGGGCTCAGGATGGGTGGCAGCCACATCTGAGTGGATGACTGCTATTTGGGTAGTGTGAAATGAGAGGCTGAGGAAGGTGTGACAAAGGGGCCTTTTGTGCATGTCAGAGGAGGTCGTGCTAGTGTAATCTGGGAGGAGGTCGCCTGCGTTCAGCCAGCAGTACCTTGTGGAGGGGCCGCTGGCATAAGCCGCAGGGAGCCCGTGCAGGTCAGGAGTACAGGTGAGGCCAGGGCCGCTGGGCAGGTGGGGGACGCAGCACAGAGCCCTGGCACGGCTCCCAAAATGCACTGGCTTTCCAGCACTGGGGACCCAGGGAGTCGCAGGCGGTGTTACTCGGATGTACTGGCACTGCCTAGGATGCGTCTCTCGGGCTTTCTGTTACTTCCCGTTGTTCCTGCACAGGCTGCACTTGCAGGGAGGACTCACTCTCACCGTCCTGCTCTCTGACTCGGGGCTGCCGTCTACACCAGGGGCCGTCTCTGGGCCAGAAAGTCGGGTTCTTTCCTCACATGTGCGGTCACTGGAGCTCAGCTTCTGCATCGGAGCCGTGACAGGGCAGGACAGAGCCCCGATCCCCGAATTCCTAGGACTTTCGCACTTCTCGCTGGTCATTGGTTGGTCACTAGTTAGTGGATGACGGGGGCCCTGAGCACTCCCTCTGTGTCCCTCTGTGTCCCTCTCGTTTCCTGTCCTCCTGAGCCTGAGCCTCACCCTCCTCACCAAAATCCACAAACACACAAACAAACAAGCACGAAACCGCTAAGAGCAAGCGCCCGGGGCGGGCCGGGGTACTCACAGTGAGTGCAGAAGGGACAGCACTCGCCCTCAACAAAGGAGGGGTTGGCGCACGTCGCTGGCGGGCAGGTGATTTCATGGCAAACTGTTTTAAATTTCTGTAAGAAAAGCAAGGTATCCGTGTAACACTCATTTAAAAGCAATACACACTGTGCGAAGCTGGATTGAACAGGTCAGTAGCACGGCTGGTGTTTCCTATTCCACAGACTCTACGTTATAAACAGACTTGAAAACAAAAGCACGTTTTCCTCTCACTCGTGCTCAGAGCCCGATGCGAGTGGGGCCCCAGGTGGCCCTTCCCGTCCCATTTCTTCTTTTCTCCCATCACCGAGCAGCAACCATGACAGGGACCTCCCACGTGTTCTGGCAGAAGAGAGGAGGATGGGAGGTGCAAACACATGTCACCTGATGCCCAAGGCCATGATCAACAGCAGCCACACAGCAGTGAATACGGACAAGGAACTGAAGTGTCCGTCTACGGTGTTTTGGACCGTGACTTGCATTTCCCCAAGTGCTTCTGCTGACTCGGGGCACTGTCAGAAGCGAGTGGCATTGAACATAAACTGCTTAAAGCAGAGCCTGGCTAGCTCCATCCCAGCTGTTTCTAACCACCTGGTGAGACCAGCACGTCACCTCTGGGTTTGGTTTACGTATGTGCAAACCAAAGAGGTCGATTCCAGCTGTATTTATGGATCCTTCCATTTCTCGGGCTTCTCAGGTTTCCTTACATATCTGAGCACATTTTACATGTAGCTATAGAATGTGGCCATTTCCAAGCAGTTAACATGCGCCCAGCATTAAATGGTGCCGTAAGGAGAATCGCACAGGGCAGGTCGCTCTCCGGCCACCTGAGTGTTTTTGGTCTCACCTTGCAGGTGCACGTGGTGCAGCTGTCCACCACCCAGGTCTCGTTTTCTGCAAAGAACCTGCCGTCCTGCCAGCAAGCCGACATGTTCCTTGTCTTAGGAGGGCCACCGATGAGCTCCCAGAGAAACTGGTTGTCATTTGACTGGAAAATCGAGGAAGGCGTTAGGTACAGAGAGGAATGCAGCAAATCCAGCCGTCACACTTGCAGATGAGAAAGGGTGTTCCTTCCTAATCAACGAGCTCTGAAGTCAGGAAGCACAAACCCCCAGCGTGCGGCACAGCCCTGCAGAGAAGGGCAGAGCCACGGCACAGTGGGCGCCAGCCTTCCCTGACGGGGAGCCACGTCTCAGAGGCCGTGGCCACGTGGGCTGCATCTCACTCCACCCCTCCCTCACAAGAGGGAGAGCACATCCCACGGCAGGGTACAGGGGAGGGCTGCAGCCCTGCCAAGAACTAACGTTCGAGTCATATGTTTGCCAGCTATGACAGGTGCCATTCAGGTAATACAATGGCATGGAAAAAGGTGCAATTGTTGCCATTTGGGGGTTATAGACTAAAGGAAAAGATGCAAAGTTTTAAAAAATCAAATAAATAACGGTTGCACCAAATGCCCTAAATGTGTGAGTTTTACCCCCTGTTGCTGAGCCCGCCCCTCAGGACATAGCAGGTGTGGACCTTTTCCCCAACTGGCAATTTCTAACTTGGGGGTAACAGGCCCTTTGAGAATCTAATGAACAATACGGACCCTTCCTTGCACAGAATGCACACAAACACACCATCGTGATTATGTTTTTTGGTGCAATTTTATGGATTTCACACATTTCTGTAATCCAGACTAAGCTAAGCAACCTTGTCCTGAAAGCTCATTTCAATCTGAGAGTGAAGACCTGCCAGGCGGGTGCGGTCTCCTCCCACCCAGCCTCTCTTCCCTGACCTCTCTTTCCAGGTCAGCCAGTGACCTGTGCGTTCCCTCGCAGCTGGCCACCACAGCTGATGCACTCATATTTCCTGATGCACCTGGAACTAAGGGGATGCTGCCTGAGGCAGCAAGCGTGGCAGGCAAGCTCGACAGAAAGGGACTTCCATCACCGAGACCTCCCACAGCACAGCAACCTGGCAGCAGACTCAACATCCATTATTCCTCCCAGTGATGGAATGTGCTCCACGGGAATCTGTGAGCAGCTGGAAGTCTGTTCCCATGACTGCCCCACTGCACACACCTGGTGGAAAGTTTCAGAAGGTGCACTTGTCCTTTGGGAGCTTCCTGAGACAGCACCATGGCCTTGCCACTGGTGGGCTGCTGGGGGTCCCTCTCCACCACCCCTGTGGAAGGGAAATGGTGCTGGTCCTGTCACATCTGGACCAGGACCAGAGCAACGCTCAGGGCACCTTCGATGTGGAGAAGTCAGCCTAGCCGCCTGGAGGACCTTGCTATTTTTGCTTCCCTTTCTGAACTTTAAACCACACACTCCAAAGTGCCTTAGATGCTTTTCTCTCTGCTGTAGCGTGCCGTGAAGACACAAAAAGACTTTCCTCCTATTAGCCCCACAGTCACTCCCTGTCTCAGGCCGGGCTGTTCTGCTCTGCCTCGCCTGCTGTTCCTCGGCACTCAGCCCTTGAAATCAAAGCATCTCCCTCTGTGCACACGTGTGCATGCATGCGCACGCGCGCGCGCACACACACACACACACACACACGCAGTTAAACTGGGGAGAGGAACTTCCCAAACTGCAGAACTTATTTTGGAGAATGTGTACCCCATGACCCTATTTTAATTCAGAATATGTCCTATCCACCACCACTGAATATTAAGCAAACATTGCTGAAAAGCCTGACGCGGCATTACCCTGTGGACAGAGGAGTTTTTAGTGGCCCAGCGCACGTCCAGTCTGGCACAGACCAGGCTGTCCGGGCAGGGAGGCCCTGCTCTGCACCCGGGCACCCACCACTTTCCTCAGGTTCTCGTGGAGCTGGCTGACGATGAGCTGCAGCCCCGAGAGCTCGCTGATCATGTTGCCCAGCTCCTCGCAGGAGTGCTCGCACACGTCCGGCCTCTTCTCCACGCGCTGGCCCACGTACTCCGTGGTGACATGGGGGCCCACGTGCAGCGTCTCTGTGTTCTCGCTGATGGCGTTGATTTCAACTGTGGGAAGCACACCAGGGCGTGAGAGGCGGGCTGTGGGCACCATCTGAGCTGGAATGTCAAGTCGGAACCCAGTGGGGAGCTGACCTGCACCGGCCTCTGGAGTGGCCATGCCGAATTATACCAAGATCCACCAGCTAACCCCGGGTGTGTGATCAGGTCCCCTCTAGACAACAGGCACACTTAGGTTCCATTAAGGTTAAGGTTAGTGCTGAGGTTAGAACTGGAGTTGGGGCCATCAAAAATGTCTCTCCTTCCCCCACAGTCCACCAAAAATCACGCTCTTAATTTCTATCCCTGCCTTGTGCTTGACTGACCTACAGGTCGACAGGCAGACAGCCTTGGTTGAGAGATACACACTCAGCTGGGCGCTCCCGCCAGAGCCAAAGCTGCAGGGCAGAGAGAGCAACCTGCCACGCCCGCAGGACCCAGGGTGCTCAGGAACGTGCGCCCGCAACTGGAGAACCAGGAGGCGTGCCCAGCGCCCAAGCGGACGGCAGGGCACGGGGCCTCCATTCTGCATCGATGACATCGAGTCCCACACATTCCCCACGTGTGGATCCATAAAGCAACAGTCCACGTTTGCAAAGGGAGGGGGGTGGGGGGAGGGGTAAAGGGCCACGAACAGCAGTGACAGTGCATATTATTGAATGTAACGATTATTCTGATGTGAGCATCACACATTGCACGTGGGTGTTGATGGTCAACTCTGTACCCCACAGATATGTGCAATCGATTTTGCTACAATAAAAAAGAAATTGAAATGAAGAAGTGTCTTAATGACGAAATCACACAGTGTGATCAGGCAGCAGACACGAGCTGTTGCTCTGGAGACTGTGGGCCCCGACAGCCGCTCTGTTCACCTCTCACCGGTGGTGAAACTCTGCGACTGATGTGACCTCCTGGGGCCTCAGCTTTACGTGTATAGTGAAGAAGACAAAAGCGTCCACCTCATAAAGTCACTCTGGAGGTAGGTGACACACGGCATTTAAAGAGCCCAGCACAGTCACCTTCATAACTAAATGCTCAAGAAAACGTTGGCAAGGTGTGGTCAGAAATATAATTCAAAATGGTAGTTAGTAAAGATGTGGGATTATCTGTTAATGATCCAAGTGGCACAGATTTTCTTAATATGACTGACTGGACAACTAGGAATAGTGTATGAAAACTTCTGTAAATCAAATTTAACAAATACCTATGATGCTACCTTATGCAGACAATCTTCACACATGAATATACTGGAAATGCTGCATATATTTAAAACACGTTAAGATGTCAGTGATTTGCATTTTGTCTTGTAAAATGGAGATTTTGATTATTAAAATCTATTTAAAGTAAATCCTGCAAACAATTTACTATTTTCAGATGCCAACATGTCTAAGTTGGCCAGCTAACTCACTCAAAGACAGTAAAGGTACCTTATTCAAATACTTTTACTTAAACCTCCACTAGCGCATCTGTGCACATACACACGCCATAGCAGAATCTCATCCAAAACAGGAAATGAAGTACGTTGTTCAAAACACACCTACCTCCCTGGCCTTGCTGACAGCCTTTCTTGCTTAGAATATCTTCCACAGAATTTTCAAAAACTAAGTGGATATTCTGAAGCAAACCCTGTGAATATGTGCAAGGAGAGAAACAGAGCAACAGATGAGCATCACGTTTGCTGCCCAGGTAAATGACATTTAAAAAATACAAGATGGAATCTTCAGACGTTGTGAATACGCTCTTCTATGTGGCATGTTTAAAATCTCTGTACGACTGGTTTTCCTGTATCTGTACTTTTGAAACTTCATTTTAGGCGTGACACAAGATGTGGGAGTTCCTCATAAGAATGTACCAACTAGGAGAAGACAGGAGGAGGGAGGGGGTCTGCCAGAGCCAGCAGCAGCTGGCCTCCTGACCATGTTCAGAGGGGACTGTGGGGACACACGACTACTGGTGTTCTTGCGTCTGGCTAAGGGGCTTGTGAATATCCGCTTGTCCACTCAGAGACAGGGATGCTGGGTCCGAAAGCATCTCCCACACCATGAGTGTCAGGCCACGCTTCAAGTGGGGTCAGGCTATGTACAGCCATAGGCTCCCTGACACCAGGGAGATTGGTGAAACCAAGGTCAGGACTTTCAGTCAACAGCTGAATTTAAACACATGTTCATTCCCAAGAACATACACGCACCTGGAAGAAGGCAGCGTACTAACACACCACTGCAGATTCTAAACTCCTGCGGTTTCAGGAAGATACTGGTCCAGGTGTGTTTTAGCTGAGATGAACATGGAGTTATCTCCTCACAAATTGCTGGCCCTCTCCTCAGCAGTGGAGGTTCTGATTTGCACCCCGTCCTCCCACCACCAGGACAGGAACTTAGCAGTGCTGTCAGCTGTGATGAAACGAATCTGGGGGTGCCAGAAACATTCCCATGGGGGTGACTCCTCGACCATCACACCAGCCCTCAATCTCAACCAGTGACCATTGGTGCAGGCAGGAAAGCAACCCGTGATAGATCGCTCTGCCTATTTACGGCCTGGAGAGGTATGGCATTTGTGTGTGCGGGTGAGAGTGCAATTCTATGTGTGTATGCTGTGTGTGTGTCTGTGCATCCGTGTGCATTGTGTGTGCAAACCTGTGCGGTGTATGTGTGTGCACATGTGTGAGTGTGCACACATGTGCAAGTGTGCATACGAGTGTGCATGTTTGGTGCTGCATGTCTGGTTTGTGAGTGCACATGTGTGGTGTATGTGTGTTTTGAGATGTTTATCTGCATGCATGTGTGCCCATTTACATGGTGTTTGTGTGAACACCTCTGCACATGTGTTTGTGTGATTCACGTTTGTGAGTGTGCATTTGTGGTGGTGTGTGTGCACACACACTTGAGTGAATATGGATGTGTTGTGTGTGCTCCGTGTGGGCACACGTGTGCATGTGCATGTATGTGTGCAAGTGCTTCTCCCAGGCCAGACTTCACCTGCTTCAACACAGCGATTGCACACAAGAGGCACTAGTCTGTCAGTTCCCAGCAAACTCTTCCCACCTCGCCGCGGCCACCATCCTGCCGTACGTACCCTGAAGTGACTGTCGCGGGCAGAGCCTTTGGCCACGTACATCCTGCTCTTTTCTGTCTTGAGCTCCTCATAGAAGGGCTCGTCCAGAGTGAAGCTGTCGATGAGGTCACAGCCCACGTACAGGCCGAAGGTCTCGCCTGACACCTGCACGGTGATGTTCTTCCACTGGGAGTCAGCCAGGCCCACGTCCTCCAGGGAGATGACGTGCTGGGTGCCATCGATCCAGTAGGTGAGGTCCAGGGTGTCTGCTGGGCCATTGGAGACGATCTCGAATTGCCTGTGGGAGGTGCCAGGGCCCTCCAGAGCCAGCAGCGTGCCCCTGGACTTGCGGTCCTGCCTCAGCTGGGCTGTGAGGAAGAAGCCCTCCTTCTGCCGCATGAGCTTGGTGATCTTGCCGAGATCATCTGCGTTCACTGGGGGGATGTAGTCAAACCGCACAAAACGGTAAGCTGGCACGCTGGGGTCAGGCCCACGGAACTGCTTGGCACCGATGGTCTTCCTGTTGATGTTGCTAATGCTGAAAAGGTCGAAGAAAGTGTCTTCATCCTGGTCACCAGCTGCCAAAGGGAACAGCAGCAGAAGGGTCACCATGAGCAGAGGACTCGGGCTCGCCAGGACTCAGGCTGCAACCCATAACTTCACATGCAAGGAAACGAGCCAGGCTACCACATCTCACTGCTTCTTTCCCTTTGTTGCAAGGATGCTGCTGCCACATCTGTCCTCTCTCCCAGTGCTGCTACTCAGAGTGTGGTCCCCACACAGCGGCTGGTCCCAGGGTTGGTTTCTGTCCTTTCTGGTTAGGAGCATGTACCAGAAGGTCACCGAGTGCTACTAGGCGGGTGCTTTCCACAGCACGACTTCTGCATGCAGGGAGCCGTGCAGTGAGTGATGTTCTGGCACAAGTTCCAGGCCAGGACCTCCTGCTGGTCCATCCCAGGTCTGAGGCTAAAAAGCAACCCTCCTCTCTACCATGTGTTGCCCAGAGGAGAAATATAGAAAATAAATGGATCTTTAGCCTTGCTCCTGATGGAGTTTCAGAAAGCAGTTAACGTATATGTTGCTTTCTCACCAAGATCATCTGACTGATGTCGATGTCTAGCTGTTTTGTAAAAATGCAAGAATCCGAGACAATGGTCGGTCTCATATGTATAAGTGAATGGTTTTAAGTCACCATCTAAACTACTGGCAAGAAAAGTTACCAGACCTTACCGAAATTGTAGCAGTTTAACTAACTCAAAATAATGTACTGAACAGAAAGTTTAAACAAAGCATAACTTTTCATCTAATACAAGGCAAATTAAACATTATAATACACAGTGTTGCTGAAAAAATGTGAACTGCACCACTTCCAGTAGAGCTATTCGATGATGTAACAAAAAATCCCTAAGGTAATTAAAACTTTTGACTCAGCAATTCTGGTTTTTGTAACTTATCTAAAGGATATAATCATTGATGCTAATAAAGATTTATTCACAACAGTTTTCCTTGTGTCATCATTTATACTAGTAAAAATACAGTAACCATCTAAGTGGGAATTGGACCAGAAATAAATGGGAATTGGGCCAGGGTTTATTTGTGCTGGAATACTATACAGTCATTAAAATTCATGTGGCAATAAAATAAACACATGGGGAAATATTTAAGATATATTTTAAGTAGGAATAAAATGGGAAGAAAAGTTACAAAGCACCAAATATTTGCAGTGTTGTAAACATAGTTTATGGGGAAAGGGCTGAACTGTGCACAACACAGTGTTGTGTCTCTAGGCAGGTGTTTATCTCTAATGCCTGACTTTTTCAAAAGTAAATTGTCTCATGTCATATGGATTCAAAAGTAAGTAAATGTTATATTTACAGGGGAGTTTAGAAGGTTCTAAATGGTTAGCTACTCCAATCACAGACTTATTTTGCTATCGCTTACCTTGCGGCTAGGACACATCTCGCAAGCGCAGGAAACCACAGCCTTGTTTCACTCACCTGGAGCACCGGGCCGCGTCCACAGGGCCAGCAGGACCAGCCCCCAGAGCATCCTGCCTCCTGAGGCTTGACTCCTGGAAACAAATCAAACCCTTGATAGTTGTAAATACACAACCGCGACTTTCAGTGTCCACTGGAATGTTTATCCACATGGCCACTTAAAAACAGTTGGAACCGAATGCCTTTGTGGGAAGCCAAAAACTAGAAAAGAGCTTTGCTTTTCCAGTGAGATTCTTCGCGCTATATCTAACGTGCATTGGGCTGGTATTCACAGGCAATCACTGTGCTAATCGCATTCTAAATATTCGTCTTATTCAACCCTCATGAGACCTAGGAGGCAAATTACTGTCCCCATTTGACAGATGAGTGAGTGAAGGTAGTCCACGTTCAGGGCTTGCCCAGACTAAATCTGCTCATAAGTGCGGCCAGGACTGAAATCCAGGAGGCTTGAGTTTAGAAAAGCTTCAGCCTGGTGAAAATAATGTGTGAAGGCATTTTGTATAAATATCCAAGAAAATAAAACAGTCGTGCATAACTTAGTTAAATATGGAACGAATATTAACTGTATATAAAAGTTAAAAACAAACCTAACTGGGTGCATCATACTTCCAAAAAAGCAGAGCATTTTACTTAGCCATCATTTTTACACTGCTTTTCTATTTTCCTGCAGGCCTGTTTTTCCATTCTTGGGGATTTAAAATTGGCACCATTCGGCAAGAGCTGGACCAGAAGTCAGGAGACCTGGACAGACGCCGGCTCCACTGTTAACCCCTCGCGGCCTGGGCAAGCCACAGTGGGCCTCATCTCCTGAGTGAGTGTGTGGGGTGAGGGTTCCTAAGGTCCTTTCCAGCAATATGACCCCATCCTGCTCTAAGTCAGAGCTAGTACTTAGACCCGGACTCCTCCCATATCTAGAATATCAAAGCTGTTAGCTTCTCATTGTTAAAGAAGGCCAGGGAGACTCCCTCTCCAGAAATATGCAGCAAACTGGAAATAGTCACCTTCCGGGTGGAGGCACATTCCCTAGAGAAAGTGGAGTGTGTGAGAACCCTCAGGTCCCTTCTGAAATCTAGGGTCCTGCTTCACAGTGCCACACACAGGGTCATTTACTGGTTGTTTTCCACTATCACACTGCAGGAGGCTGCCCGGCAAGAAGGGTCAGCCCCAGAGCGCGTGCACTGCAGTTCACCCCTGCCGGGCCAGCTGTGCAACCTAGGACAACTCGTTTAACCTCTCTGCCTCAGTTTCATCTGTAGAATAAAAAAAAAAAAAAATAGTGGTTTAAAATATCTGCCTCATCAGGTTGTTTTAAGAAATAAATTAAGCAAATGAATATTCATAAGGAGCTCATTAAGCACAGCAAGCATACAGGCGTTGGTCCAGTAAGCTGTATATGCTGACATCTGGAACGCCTTCTCCTGTGACTTTCCAGGGCAGTGGTGGTAATAATAGTGGTGTTGTTAATAGGGCCTTTTTATAGAGTTCTTAAGAGGATTAAATTACATGATGAGACACTCATCGTGTACTTAGAATAGCGCCTGCGCACAGGCGGCACCACAGTGCGGTTTTGGGATAGGCAGTGGGTAGGTTTGACAGCATCTGGAACGGTCTCCTCTGTCCCCTCACTTGACCAGACGCGTGCCGTGTGTGCCCCTCCCGGGCCTCCCTGTCAATCTCCTGCTGCTGCCGACAGCCGAGAGGCTGGCTGTGTCCCCGTGGGCTCCCTCCAAAAGTAAACTTTCACGTTCCGGATGCTCAGAACAGTAAGTGCAGGCAGGATTCGACAGAGTGAACCGAACTGCGTTTTGACAAAATCAAATCCTCCTAAGTCTCTGACTTGGGGAGGGTTCCTGAAACAGTAGGAGTGTCACAAAGTGTCAGCCATGTGACATTTGTCACATGTGCCTGAGGCTCCCGTCTCATCTCACGGGTTTGTTATAACAAAAAAGGGGGGAGGAGATGGAGAGTGGCAGTGTGGCAGCCTCGTCGCGCCCGATTCGTTAGACAGCGTGGCTGCCCCGGCCCTGGGGGCGCATGGCAGTCCTGGCACCGTCCCTCGGCTTCCGCACATCCACATTGTGTGTTTATGGTTACAGTTTCCAAAAGAAAGACTTCCAGAGCCCTTCTGGAGCAGAATGCAGTTAGAATTTATGAAGGTCTTTGAAAATT